AGTGGTGGACTTGGCAGTGTTGGGTTAACCATTAGACTTGATCTTAAAGGTCTTTTCCAACTGAAATGATTCTATGATTCTAATATTTTTTAAAATTACAGTTACTTGTTATTTTGGAGGAGCACCAAGTTAAGTGTTGGGATGAGAGGTATCTTCATGTATTCCCCTGTATTTAATAGGAATGTGTATCTATCCATCAGGAGACTGGTGATGCTCCTAGCTGCCTTTTCCCTTGCTATATGCATTGTGTCTTACCAGTCAGGAGTGTAGGAGATGCTACAAGCGGGCTGCTCCATCTGGTTCAACAACTGGTCTCTCACTGTGGCAGCAACATATCTGTCAGAGAAATACATAAATAATGAGAAGGCAGACAGAAAGGAGGCAGATTCCTCCAAAGAGGCTTTTTCTTATTCCATTTAGAAGTCAGACGTGCCTGAAGCATGGAGTTTATATCTCTTTTATTCATATAAAAAATCCTTACAGATTTACCACCAGGTATCATGGGAGTGACGAATCTTTTACTCATACTAAATATTTACTTTGATAACCTCATGGTGTAATATATTCCTCCAGTAACTGGTATGTTGAGTAAATTATTTGCTGTATTTTTTTTAAATTTTTTTATTTCTTTTTTCTAGTGGGTTCTAACGAAATCAAATGGAAGCCAGAAACCATCTGCACTGACCTGTTCTCAGAGTATCCTGGATTAGAGGATTTAATGAAAAAACAAATCCATGCACTTAACAAAGGAGTACTGATATTTTCAAGGAGTTGGGCTGTTGAAATTGGTTTGTGGAAAAAACAAGATATTGTGTGTGATGTTCTCTTAGTAGCTGAAAATACATATCCAATACTGTATACTGTAGTCAAGGACGCTTCTTCTGCTGAGTCTGAAACCTCAAGAGAAACTGCTTATGCATTAAAGCAGAAACTAGTCAATGATGGGGGATATGCTTCAAAAGTGTGTGTGATTCCCCAAATACTGCACCTGAGTGGCACAAAGAACCAGACAGACATTCCAGAGGATGACGTTCCCCAGCAAGAAAACCAAGAAAACCCATGTGATTATGCCAGCGTGTACCCGGAGAATTACATCCTCACCTCCAGGGACATCCCCGCATTCCTGAGTGCACTTGTGATTGTTGTGCTGCGCTTTAAGTCCTACTTAAGTGACCATCTTGGCTGTGAGATTTTTAACCTTCTCACTCTCAAACAGTATGAGCTGCTCTCCAAGAACCTGCACAAAGCCAAGGAGCAGTTTGTCCTTGGTCTTCCTGGAACAGGGAAAACAATCGTGGCTTTGAAGATCATTGAGAGAATAAGAAACATTTTTCACTGTTCTGCAGAAGAGATACTCTACATCTGTGAAAATCAACCCTTGAAGAAGTTTGTGGGGTAAGCAGTAATGTGTATTTCCTCTTTCATCTTTCATTCCATCCTCTGTACATACAGCACAAGCCCTGCTGATTTTATATCTGTTTGCCAAATATAACTTTGGCTGACACAAACACACAATAATCATCTCAAGAAAGGTGTTAATATTGAAAGTATTCTTGAGCTGAGCTCTGGCCCAGATCCAGTGTTCACTGACCACAGTGAGAATCCCATGTTCGGTCATTGCTGGATTGTATTAGACCTTCAAAAGACTGTGGCCTTAGTTTAACAGTTTATTACGGGTGGTACTGACACCAAAACTACCCACCTGCCTTTCTTTGTTGCTGCCTCAATGCTGCTTGTGCTGGGCCTGATGCAAGCTCTTGCACAGCTGTGCTAAGAACCGGACCTTGGACCTGGGCCATCTAGACAAGGAGAACAGAAACTCATGCCCTTTTGGTAGAGGATTTCAGACAGAGCAGTTCCCCAGTCCTGTTCTTGCTGTGTTTCCACTTGCGTCAGCATGAAGAAGTCAGCAGGCCACCATGCTGGGACAAAGCACCTTGCATCAGGGAATTGCAGCCTAGCTCAGACACAGCAGTGCCCAAGGAGCAGGTTCTGGCCCCTGCAGGCAGACGGCCAGGCAGTAGTGCTGCCAGTCCCTGCTCGCCCTGGGGAGGAAAGGGAACCCATCCTTCCCATGGGAGCTCAGGCACCCGCGGCCTTCCCTGGGCCGGGGAGAGCAGGGCAGAAGGACACCCCTGGGGAGCCTTGCCATGGGATCCCCATGTAGGAAGGGTGGGCCTGAGTCTCCTCCTAGGATAGATGCAAAGCCAGCTGGTGGGGGCTGTGCAGGCTGGGCAGCAATACCTGCACACAGCCCGTCCGTTGGAATAAATATTTCCACCGGGAAAATGACGCAGCATGCTGCAGATGAGATAGGAAGTTTTGCATTTTCAGACAGTAAGCAGCAATAGCCCTCCAAGCAAGAACCCACTGAGAAATGGAGGTGGTCAATACGGATTTGCCTGGTCATATCTTCTTTTTATTTACTATATGTTTTTTGGGGGGTTCGGTTTGTGTTTTTTTAGAAATGAGATCTGCCGGTCTGTGACACGTGTTGCCTTCTTAAATGGGAACTTCCCAGAAGTGAAACACATTGTGGTTGATGAAGCTCAGAATTTTCGTCCTGAAGAAAACTGGCACCAATGTGCCCGGGAGCTAGTCAAGAAAAACAATGGCATTTTCTGGGTCTTCCTGGATTTCTTCCAGTCTACTCACCCCTATGGTTGTGGTCTTAAGTTTTCAGAACTATATCCTCAGGAATGGTTGACCAAAGTGGTCCGTAATGCCAAGCAAATATACAATGTCATGTTTAATCTAATGGAGGAAATCCTCCAAGAACGTAAGACAGCTATGCCCTATGAGGTGCTAAGAGAGTTGTTTAAACAGGCTGAATGTGCCCATTCTTTGTCAGGCGACTACATAATGAAAAAAAATATGGAAACATTTGAAATGGCAGAGTACGTGGCCAGGCAGTGCAACAGCTACATCCAGCAAGGCTATCCCATCAAAGATATTGCAGTCCTGTGCAGTACACAGCATGCAGCCCAGGTGTTCCGTCAGATATTGGAACCTGAGCTAAAAAGACAAATGCGGAAATGCAGGGTGAGGTTGGTCTTGGGGCTAGCAGAGAATGTTTTAGAAAATGTCATTGTTCTTGACAGCATCCGACGCTTCTCAGGCCTAGAAAGGAGGATTGTGTTTGGCATCCATCCTGTCCCTGCACAGGAGGAAATATCTCTCAATCTTTTGCTCTGCGTGGCATCCAGAGCCCACACCAAACTCCATTTGCTGTATCACAAAGAAAAGATGTTCTTAAGAGACATGTCTTTAGACGACAGTTTACTCTTACCTGAAGCTCTGGACACTAGAATGCTTCGCTCATTTTTTGTTCAGTGACATTACAGGGCAGCCTTAAGATTTTTTTTATGCCCTTTCTGTAGTCTATGCAAAAAAAAAAACCCAAAATCATGTAGTTTCATATATATATATTTCATCATGTGTAGGCCTGTAGGATGTCATAAAATTGATTTTAATTAAAGGACATTGCCACTCAGAGGGAACAAATTGCTGACAATGGCAATTGCAGAAGGAAGTCAACAATTACAAACTGCTTGGATAAACCATAGAACAGTTTGGAGACTTGTACTTTCAATTCCTCTGCTCTTTAAGCTGATTGCGTATTCGAGTTGTTTCAGCACTACCAGAGTGGAATCCCTGGTTGGAAACGCAACAGGGGCCATCCTTGTTTATGTCCCTGCTGGTGCAAATGGTCAAAACTCTGCTTTTTTTCAATGGTGCAAAGATTTTTGTGAATTTTCAGCAAAAAGATAGAGCCACAGTTTGTTTCTGGGAGTGGTGGTGAGTGTCACCTGCTGGTAATGGAGCTGTGGTTTTGTGGTTGCATTGAATCATTTTAAATGCAGATTTCTGCCCATGGAGGCAGTACAGTCCCAAACCTCTCATAAGCAGGCTCAGGGGTGCAACAGTGTAGTTGGGAACTTAGGGGGGGCTTTCTGGCAAATTAGTGTTTAGCTTAGGTAAGATCCACCGTGTCATGCAGCTGCCCAAGCACTAGTGCTGGCATGAGGG